AAAAAAAAAAAACAATAAAAAGTATTAGCTAGATGTATTATATATTAGTCAGGGTTCTCTAAAGGAGCAAAACTAATAAAGTAGATATAGATATTTATTGGAGTGCCTTTGCAGCCTGTGTAGTCCAATAATGGCTATCTCCTGACAGAAAGGCCAAGGATCCAGCAATTGTTCAGTCCATGAGACTAGATGTCTCGTAGTCCTAATCTGGTGCTGGAGTCCCAGGGAAGTCCTAGAGACTGCTAGTGCTCAGTCTCTGTTGGAGTCCCGAAGAAGTAGGTAAGTTCTAACACTAGCAAAGGGGTGTCTCAGGAACAGGATAGACGAACTTGCTAGTCAGAATGAAGGCAAGCAGGCAAAAAAAATGAAAGCTTCCTCTTCCATATCCTTTCATGGGGGTTCCCACAAGAAGGTGTAGCCCAGATTTAGGGTGAGTCTCTCACCTCAAATAATCCAAGAAAAATTCCTCAGATGGGCCAAGCTGTTTGGGTCTCAGTTAATTCCAGATGTAGTCAAGTTGACAACCAAGATTAGCCACCACACTAACATACGAAGAAATCTGAGGCCATTGTTGGTGGAAGTGTAAAATGGTGTGTTATAAGTTTTAGACCTCCTGAAGGCCTCTCCACTGACTCTGCAAACCGAATCAGACCAAATTGGGTAAAGTGTTCCCAGGCCATATCCCACCCCCTCAGATGGGGACCAAAAGTGCCATTGTTTTCTGGGATGCAGCTTATATATCCTGTGGGAGTGGTCTTGAGCCTCTCTGGGGTCGAAGCTGTGTCTGGCAGGCTTTGTAGGAGCGGTTTAAGGAAAGAGATAGGGGAGGGGAGTTGAGGTGGATCTTCCACCAGACTCCTTCCAAACATTCCACACTCTTTGGTTATAGGGATGCCAGGGTGCCAGGGGTTGAGGTGGACTCCTACCTGAACAGTGTGTCCACTTTAGAGTTCCTCAAAAACTTAGCCATAGTACCCCACAGTTACACCACTAGTTCTTCAAAGTTAACTGGAAATATGTTTATACCAAAACTCAATACACTGATTGTAACAGCACTGTTCATAAAATGGAAATAATACAAATGCCCATCATCAGAGTAAAACATAAGCATTTTTTTGATAAACATTCTTTTAATTATTGAATAATATCCATGGTGTAGAATGAAGTATTTGGAGGTTGTTCAGTGGGTAAAGCACTAGCTGCACAAGCATGAGGACTTGAGTTTGACCCCCAAAACCCCATGTAACCCCATGTGCCTGTAATCCTAGTGCCCCTGCACTAAGTTGGGAGAGCGAGCCAGGAAGCTTGACATATGCAGAGACACCTCCTCCCTCTTTGCTTGTTTATTTTGTTTTGTTTTCAAGACAGGGTTTCTCTGTGTAGCCTTGGCTATCCTGGAACTCACTCTGTAGATCAGTCTGGCCTTGAACTCAGGGATCTACCTGCCTCTGCCTCCCAAGTACTGGGACTAAAGGCATGCACTGTCACCACGCAGTTGAGAGACCCTTTTTTAAAAAAAAAAAAAGATTTATTTATTATGTATACAGTGTTCTGTTTGCACACTAGAAGAGGACACCAGACCTCATTATGGATGGTTGTGAACCACCATGTGGTTGATGGGAATTGAACTCAGGACCTCTGGAAGAGCAGCCAGTACTTTTAACTCCTGAGCTATCTCTCCAGGCCCCAAAGACCCTTTCTAAAGAGGAAGGTAAAGACCTATACTGAGTTTGTGACCTCTGTGTGCATTATGGTTTGTATGTACATATCACACAAAGGAGTGAGATGTATATACATGCTACAACAGTAATATATTCTAAAACAGTAAATCAGGCACAAATAGCTATACACTGTATGTTTCCATTTCTATGAGAGGTCTAAAATAGGCAAATCCATAGAGGTAGAAAGTAAATAGTAATTATAAGAATAAGATAAACAGGGGCTGGAGAGATGGCTCAGTGGTTAAGAGCACTGACTGCTCATCCAGAGGTCCTGAGTTCAATTCCCAGCAACCACATGGTGGCTCACAACCACCTGTAATGAGATCTGGTGCCCTCTTCTGGCCTGCAAGGACACATGCAGATATAATAAATAAATAAATCTTTAAAAAAAATAAAAGAATGAGATAGAGAGTGGCTGTTTAGGGATATGGAGGGGTTTTTTGGTAGTAATTAACATATTTCAGAATTAGGGGTAATGATTAGACGAACAAGTGACTATTCTTTGGGGAGGGGGCGGTTTCTAAGACAAGGTTTCTCTATATAACAGTCCTGGCTGTCCTGGAACTCAATCATTCTGTAGACCTAGCTGGCCTTGAACTCAGAGATCTGCCTGCCTCAATTAAATGCTTGAATCACCACCGCCTGGCACAAGTGAATATTCTGAAAACTACCAAGTGAGGTGTCTCTGTACAGAAGTGAATTTTATGGAGAATGAGTTAAATCTTTGGTTTTTTGATTGGAGGGCAGGGGGTTAATTGTTGTTTTGTTTCTTGGGTTTTGGGAGGGGGTTGTTGTGCCCACCTCATCCCCCACCCCCCCACCCCCCCACCCCCGGGTTTCTTTGTGTTGTTTTGGTGCCTGTCCTGGATCTTGCTCTGTAGACCAGGCTGGCCTTGAACTCACAGAGATCCGCCTGGCTCTGCTTCCCAAGTGCTTGGGTTAAAGGCGTGCACCACCACCACCACCACCACCACCACCACCACCACCACCACCGTTAATTGTTTTTAAGACAAGGTCTCTGTATACAGCCCGGGCTGTCCTAGAACTCAATATTGTAGACAGGATGGCCTTGAACTCATAGAGATCCAATTTCAAGTGCTGGCATGGAATTTAACTAGTAGATCAGGCTGACCTTGAATTTACAGTGATTTGCATGTCTCTGCCTCATGAGTGCTGACGTTAAAGGCCATCACACTCAACAAATTTCTGAAGTTTTTAAAAATTCATTTATTTTGTGTGTATGTGAGTGGCATGCTGCATGTATAGAGCTGGTTCTCTCCTCCACCTTACATGTGTTCCACTAATTGAACTCAATTCACCAAACTTGCACTGCATTCACTTTTATCCACTAAGTTATCCTACTGGCTCCTGAAGTTTATAAAATGTAAGTTAGGCATGTTTTTTAGTCTCCAGAAGAAAATGGTCTCATATCAATCACTTATCCTATCTGTATTTCTTGCAACTACTAAACATAGTGTCATACAACAAACATTTATTTTAAAAGGTGATGATGAAGATGATGCAGAAGATGAAAATAACATTGGTAACAGAGCTAACTCAGATGGACCATCTGCAAAACGACCAAAACCAACATCTTAGCAATAGTTTTTATGAAATTAAGACTGCTACTAAGTTGAATGAGATGTTGTATACTTGTAATCCCAATACTTCAGAGGCTGGGGCGGGAGGATCGAAAGTTGGAGCCTTGATTGTACTACGTGTCAAGACATTGCTTCAAATAAAAGATGAAGACATCGGAGCACTGCTATTTCCTTACTGTCACATGCTAGGACTTGCAGAAGACCTGTGCTCTAGTTGGGGAACTCATTTATTTTCTGGCATTGGAACAAGTTGGTCGCATAGAAAACTTCCTGTTTCTAACAAAGAAAGTACAATAAATGTTTGGGAATGAAGTCTTGTTTTCTCATTCCAAAATACAGTGGAACCATTCATAATGGGTAAAATCTAAATTGACAAACGAGTTTTTATGTTTGTTTTTCTCTTTTAAAATGACCATTGAGGCTGGATGGTTGGTGGCACATGCCTTTAATCCCAGTACTCACTCAGGAGGCAGAAGCAGGCTGCTTCCTCTGAGTTTTCTGAGAACCTCTAAGTTCGAGGCCAGACTGGTCTACAGAGTGAATTCCAGGAGCTACACAGAGAAACCCTGTCTTGAAAAACCAAAAAAGATAAAAGATTAAAAAATAAAATCACCATTGAATGGCTGGGTAGGTATGCCTTTAATCCCAGCACTCCGGAGACAGAGTGGATCTTAAAGTTCTTAAGTACAGCCAGGTCTATGCAGAGAAAACTTTGTTTTGAAAAACAAAACAAAACAAAATTATCATTAAATCAAATGGTGTGTGTCTACATCTTTTAGCTTTTATAAAAACTGCTTGTCGTGGTCCTAGACAATTGATAAGAGCAATATGATATTGAGACAGGGTTTCTCTGTGTAGCTTTGCACCTTTCCTGGAACTCACTCTGTAGCTCAGGCTGGCCTCAGAACTCACAAAGGTCTACCTGCCTGTGCCTCCTGAGTGCTGGGACTAAAGGCGTACCACCTGGCCCTCCCTTGTTTTTTGTTAAGATTAATTTATGTTGTTCTGCCTGCATGTATGTCCGAATGCCAGAAGATGGCACCAGATCTCATTATAGATGGTTATGAGGCACCATGTGGTTGTTGGGAATTGAACTCAAGATCTCTGGAAGAGCAGTCAATGTTCTTAACCTCGGAGCCTTCTCTCTAGCCCATGTTGTATAGTTTTAAAATATAAATTCCTAAAATATATGTACTCCTACCTATCTGTGTAACTGGAGTGGATTTTTAAATTTACAGTGCCTCTTTCCTGATTTTGACAGTTGAAATGTAACAAGTACCTAATGAAATTAGAATAAAAATAGAAAAAATAAATTAAATATTTTAATTATAATATATCTATTTTGTTTTGAGACTGGGTCTTGCTATGTATGTGGCCTAGACTGACCTGGAAATCACTGCATAGCCCAGCTGGCTTTGAACTTGCCACATCTTTCTTCTGAGTGTTGGGAATCACGAGTGTGCACAATCATGCCTGGCTTTTTGTTGTTGTTTTGAGACAAGGTTTTGCCATGTAGTGAAGTTTGATCTAGAACTTTCTGAATGTAACGCAGCCTGTCCTCAAACTTGTGATCTTCCTGCCTCTGTGGCTTAGGTGCTAGGGTTATAGACATATTCTGGGCTTCATAGAATCTTAGCTGTAACAAATCAAAATGGCTTACTTCGGAGATTAATTGAATCTCAGAATAGTTATTTTCAATTGTTTGTGCTACCTTACATATGTAGCTTTTGAGGCTGGGGGTATATACCTCAGTGGTAGAGTGCTTGTCTAGCATGCACAAGGCACTGGGTTTGCATCAGTATCTGAAAATGAAAATAGGCTTTAGGGCTGGGAATGTGGTTCTGTGGTAGAAAGAACATTTGCTCTTGCTCTGTATGCTTTTCTTTTCTTTTCCTTTTTTTTTTTAAAGACAGGATCTCTAGTTAGCTTCGAACTTGTTCCTTAGACCAGGCTGGCCTCTAACTCATAATGATCTGCCTGCCTGTGCCTCCTGAGTGCTGTGTGCTAACATGCACACTTGCAAATTGTATATTCTAATACCTGAAATTACAGTTGATATTACTAAAGACACTCAGTTTACATGCTTTACATTTTTAAAATGTTTTTCTTGGAGCATAGGCATTCCACTAAGCACTCTTAGGTAATTTGAACTAGGAAATATTAGTAATGGCCAGACATTCTTACTTGTTTAATGATGTTTCTATTATTTAAATTCTCTAGATTAACATAACCCTTAAAAGAAAAAAAAACTTGCCTGTATATAATTTAAAATATATTTTAAATAATTTAAATTAAGGGAGCTAAAGAGGTGGTTCAGCAGTTAAGAGCACTGGCTACTGTTACAGAAGACCTAGGTTCAATTCCCAGCACCTACATGGTGGCTCACAACCCTCAGTAACTCCCATCCTGGGGACCTGACTCCCTCATATTAGTGTACAGATATACATGCAGGGTTAAAAAAGGCACACACCTTTAATCCCAGCACTTGGTAGGCAGAGGCAGGAAGATCTCTGAGTTCAAGGCCAGCCTGGTCTACAAAGTGAGTTCCAGGACAGCAAGAACTAAACAGAGAAACCTGTCTTGAAAAACCAAAAAAATAAAAATTAAATAGTGTAAATTGATAGTTCAACTTGCTCCTAAAATGTCTATATTTCCTTCTTTGTTTAATAAATGTATTATAAAGACATTTCAATATGGTATTTGTGCTCATATAGTGTTTTGAGGTTCTGGGTTGTAAGTTTGATGGATCTTTTATTAATTTTTATGTTTTCTGGTTTTTTGAGACAGGGTTTCACTATGTAGCCCTAGCTGTCCTGGAACTCTCTGTAGATCAGGGTGGCCTTGAATTCGGAGATCCCACCTGCTTCTGCCTCCCAACTGCTGGGATTAAAGGCATGTGCCACCACTACCCGACTCTTTTTTGTTTGTTTGTTTGTTTTTAATACTCATTCTAATACTCTCCCCCCCCCAGCTGAGGACCAAACCCAGGGCCTTGTGCTAGGCAAGCACTCTACCACTGAGCTCCAACTTTTTACATTTGTACAGGAAAGTCATCCCTCGCATTTGTACCTAAAAATAAGCCTATCATGAGCCTTAAATGATTAATCTAAAAAGTGAACAAGGTGTTTTTATGAGAGGTACCTTTTCCTGGATCTCACTCTGTAGAACAGGCTGGCCTCGAACTCATAAAGATCCACCTGCCTCTGCCTAGGAGTAAGGCGTGCTGGGATTAAGGCATGCACTACCACCGCCCAACCTAGTTACAGCATTTTTATGACACTTTTATACTTGGAAGGTAACATATTGGTTTAAAGCAACTGGTTGTTTCCAAGGTTAAGTAACCCCAGGCATATACATCAGTCTGGAACCTCTCTTTTTTTTTTTTTTTTTTTTTTGTTTGTTTGTTTGTTTGTTGTTGAGACAGGGATTCTCTGTGTAGTTTTGGTGCCTGTCCTGGATCTCACTCTGTAGACCAGGCTAGCCTCGAACTCACAGAGATCCACCTGGCTCTGCCTCCCGAATGCAGGTACCTTTTCTTAAAGAAATGCCTAAATAGTATTTATTATTTTAACTCTAGGGCCCAGATCCACATTTTGTAAGAGGTTATAGTTGCTTGGCTGTGGTATTAGGACGTTTAAAACACCAGGAAAGAACTTACCATGGAGTCAAACATAGGGGCATACATGTTGTTGTATGATAGAGTCTCACCACTTGGGAGTTTGCCACTTGGGAAGGATCTGAAGTGCTGGGATTCCATAGCAAGGCCAAATGACCTCTCTTTGATGTGCACTGCACCCACTCCACCCTTGCTCAGGTGTGCCCTCCTGTTTTTTCTGGACAGGTTCTCTGTATGTGGCCCTGGTTCACTGGAACTCTGTAGACCAGGCTGGCCTTAACCTCTCAGAGATCTGCCTGCCCTTGTCTCCCCCTGACCCTCACCCCCAACCCCCCAGTGTTGTGCTTAAAGTTATGTGCTGCTTCTCTTTCATCCTTTGGGTTTCAATTTAAACACCTTCTCAGGGTTGAATTTAATTTTTTCTTGAGAAGGCTTGTACCCCCTCTCTGATTGCAACTTCCATATAGGTTAGGAGAACTAGACCAAGTCCAGAGTAGGGTACCATCAAATAAAGAGGAAGAGTGCGGGGCAGCAGTGGCTCACACCTTTAATCCCAGCACTCAGGAGGCAGAGCCAGGTGGATCTCTGTGAGTTCGAGGCCAGCCTGGTCTACAGAGTGAGATCCAGAACAGGCACCAAAACTACACAGAGAATCCCTGTCTCAAAACAACAACAAAACAAAGAAAAAAAAAAAGGAGAGGTTCTAGACTGATATATATATGCCTGGGCTTAACCTTGGAAACAATCAGTTGTTTTAAACCAATATGTTACCTTCCAAGTATAAAAAGTGTCATAAAAATACTATAACTAGGTTGCGAGGTGGTAGTGCATGCCTTTAATCCCAGCACGTCTTTACTCCCAGGCAGAGGCAGTGGATCTCTATGAGTTTGAGGCCAGCCTAGTCTAAACTCCAGTTCCAGGACAGACTCCAAATATACACAGAGAATCCCTATCTCAAAACAAAACAAAAATACTGTTAACTATTTTAGTTCTCTGGTGACCTTGGGATCAAATTGCTCTATTTAAAGTTGTGGTCCAGGAAACAGTGAATTCTAGAAATAAGCTGTTTAAATCTTAAAAAGTAGCAGCTCACATTGAAATATCAATAGGCCACTGGAGTATAGTTTTAAATAGAAATTTACTCTGGACAAAATTCTGATGGAGATGGTAGTTGTTTATGAGTGCTTTCTAGATCCACAGTTCTGGAACACCAGAGACTGAAACTGTTATGTAGTTCTGAGAGCTGTTGTACTTTGTACACATTGGGTGGCTTAAGAAACTATAATTTTCATGACTGAAACAGAAATTTATTGAGGGCTCTAGCCTTCCACTTAATAAAAAACCTTGTATATGTTTTTTCTCAACACCAATAAGGAAAATTCCAAGACAACTGATATAACAAGAACTCAAAACAAAAATACATTGAGGGACAGTTTAAATCTTGGCCTTGAAGAAAATATCACTAAACCCTGAGACCTAAAATAGCTGGATTAAACTGGAACAGGTGATAGATTAGGCCACACACTTAATAGTAAATATTAGCTTTTGGCTTTGTTCTCTAGGGAGAGTGAATTAGATTGGCTTTTACAGTATAACAAGAGAAGTATATGTTCATAAATACTGAACACCTACTATGTGCCAGTTACAGTTGTAAGCATAGGGCTCATCATAATACATGACAAAAATCCAAGATTTT